CTCTTGTTGTTGGGGAGGTTGTGAGACCCCGTTCCTATTTTTTCTTTTCCATAAACTCACTTCACTCTTCTCTCATTTTCTCCCTCTCAACTCTCTACTCACTTTGCTGATTCTCTCTCTCAACCTTGTGTTTGTTTCTTTGCTGGATCAAATCCATTCCTTGGTGGCTGTAGGTGAAGGGTAGTGTCGTATGTAGCTAGCTGGAAGCCGGAAATCCTTTTCTCTTCTCCGTGAGCTCTTTTTCTTCTCCTCTGCTGTCCCGAAGCATGAATTCTTCGCACCGAGGTAAGGGAAGCTAGGTTCTACTGATTTTTGGTTGTAAATGAGTGCTAGAAGCTTATTAGATGCTTGATGATCAATGATTTGTGGCTGAGATTGAAGAAAATAAATTTTCGGGTTTTCGGGGTTAGGTGAAATTTGGGACTTTACTTATTTATGGTTGCATGTTGAAAAAAGATGATGTTTTTGAACTCTTTGATGAAAATGTGAACTATTGGATGGTTTACATGTGGATTTCTTAGCTATTTTTGCAGATTTTTGAAGAGATTTTCGAGCTCGGTGAGTTGCTGCTGGCTATCAGCCGGGCGCAGTTCTTCGCGTCGGGTGCGTGACTACCAGAAGGCTCCATTTGGGCAAGCCCGCCGGGCGCAAAAATGTGTGCGCTAGGCGAGCTTGAGAATGTGAGCCTCTAGATGGTCCACGCCGGGCGTGGTGGGATAGCGCTGGGCGCGATATCAATGGGTGACATATGTTTTGTGGTTCTGGTTTGGCACCGGGAGTGACTTTGTCTCGCCGGGTGTAGAGACTCATTGGGAGTCTTTGCCAGAGGTGGCGCCGGGCGCAATTTATATTGCGCCGGGCGTGAGACCCTAGGGAGGTCTCTACTTTCTTGCGCCAAGCGCGGGATGAGCACGTCGGGCTTGTGAGACCTTTTGAGGTCTCTGCCTCCTATCACGCCAGGCGCAATAGGAATTACGTCGGGCGCGCTGGTCCCTGGTGCTCTCTGGTTGTGCCACGCCAGGCGCGACCATGAGTGCGCCGGGCGCGGATGTGATGAGTATTTATAGGATGTTGTGTGTTGAATTTTGCTAAGATTGTTGATGGATGTGGTTATATGCTGAGCTGAGCTGTAAATGGTTAATATTGTTGTGATGTTAGATGATAATTGCTGAATTAGGGTGCTAAGATGTAGTTGATGTAAATAGTTGTGCTGTAAGTTGTTTAGTTGTGCTGTGCTGTGCTTTGAGCTGTGTTAGCTAGGCTGTGAGTTGTTTGGCTGTGCTGTTTAATGTTGAGTTGTATGATGTTATTGCCGCTATGAGGTGCTATTATTGCCACTATGCGATGCTATTATTGCCACTATGTGGTGCTGTTATTGCCGCTATGCGGTGCTATTATTGCCACTATGTGGTGCTGTTATTACCGCTATGCGGTGCTTTTATTGCCGCTATGCGGTGCTGTTATTGCCATTATGTGGTGCTGTTATTGCCACTATGTGGTGCTGTTATTGTCGCTATGGGATGTTGTTATTGCCACTATGCAGTGCTGTTATTGCCATTATGCGATGCTATTATTGCCACTATGTGGTGCTGTTATTACTGCTATGTGGTGCTGTTAATGCTGCTATGCAGTGCTGTTATTGCTGCTATGCGGTGTTGTTATTGCTAAATGCTGTGATATATTATGGGCTAATGTTGTTAAGCTGGCTGATATACTGATAGTTGTAGCTGTTTACCATTCATATTTTATATATGTATGTTGATTTCTTTCACTAGCTTAGCCTTTGTTGTTTCCATATGGTTTGGACTGCAATGATCATACTATGTATGGGAGCAGAGCAGGGTTAGGTTGGTGTGCTGAGGAGAGTCTGCAACTGACAGATGGCGTTTGTTTTTGTTGTTGTATTTAGCTACTTAGTGTAGCATTGCTGGATGAAATTTGTACACTCTGACTCTAGCCAGATTTGAACCTTGTATATATATATATATATTCTAGACACTATATGTAAATACTTATTCTTTTCTGTGTAGTGTTCTAGTGTGTTGTGTTGTGTGTAGTGACCAGTCAAGTCGTTACACAACCATTTCAGTTTTCTTTTCTAACAAATTTCTTCTCCTTGGTGACAAAGTAATTGCTCTAATTAAGGTACAATACCTTGCATGGGTATATATCCAATAAAAAGTGTCTTCAATCAGCACTTGTGAGTTGAGCTTATTCAGAGCTAGAGGCTAAAGTGGCCCAGTGTGCAAATTAAACCTTAAGGCCAATTTAGAACGATAAAAAAAATGCTATATAAAATAATGATAGTCCTCGAAGAAAGAAAGGAAAACAGAGATCGAGATAAAAATTAAAAACGAATATCCATTCTCTAAAACTTCTCATTCTATAAAAAAAATGTGTGACCCATTTTAAATCAAGAGAATATTTTTTAAATAAAAAAAAAAGTGTGTTAAAATAACCAAATAAAAGTGCAAAAATCCTCTTCTCAGTATAAAAATAATATTTGACCTATTAATTACACATGTTTTTCTAGTAGAATTAAAATCCTTATTATAGGTAAAATCCACATACCCGGTGGCTGAGTTGCTAATTGTGCCACACCTCATGGTTACAAATTGTTTAAAATCATGATTGCACAAATAACATGTAGTTAATGATTCATGTAGAAAATGTGTAAGGACAAACACACCATAGATATCAAACCCATAAGACCATTTGCACTACTTTCTAAAATGAATTATAACTTAGTCTAAACGATATAAGTCTGCAGAATTTCTAATTATATAAATTTAAAGTAAAGCAGATAACTAAAAGAATTGGTTTAAGTTGATAAGAAAAATATAGGACTATGACTCACCGATACTTTCCATCGCTTTTTCTTCGATATCATTCTGGATTCTAGTTTTAAGATTAATTACCAATTTTTTGATTCTTAATTTACTTTGAATTGTTGGATAGGAACCGACACTACACCAAAATTAAGTTTTTGTAACGATTAATTTATTTTTTAGCGATCATATAAATGACTATTATTTTTTTTACCAACATTTAAATAATAGCTGGTGTATCAAGTATCGTTAATACTATTATCGACATTTATATAAAATACTGGTAAAGACCTACTAAATAGTCGGGAAAATTTATTTATTTTAGTTGTAATTCTAGTAGTCATTTTAAAAGCTATTAAAAGTTATTTTTTCAATTGTTTCCTTTCCATCTATTTAATGACTTTTATCTTTTTGTAGTAAAATTTTAAATAATTTATTCCTATAATTTTCTTTTCTAAATTCATAAATTATATACTTTTATTTATCTCTAGTCGATGTGGGATTTGTAAGATGAGGGTTGTCTTCTATTTATATATTTTTTAATTTATTTTTTTAATTGTCTTGTCTCTTAAGATATGTGAGATTTATAAGGTGAAAGTTGTTATTTAATTGTTTGATAGAACTATGAAATTTGATAATAGTGAGTGATTTGATACCAATTTATTATAGTGAATTAGGAATCTAACTTAACCCTATAAAATCAACTTATAAGGTGATAGTTATTACTCACTTATATACTATTTAATTATCTTATCTCTAATCGATGTGACATTAATTTTTTTCAATAAATAATTGTCGCTAATAATAAACTTTAGTGTAATATAAATATATTTTTAGTAGCTATTATATATTAATCATTAATATTTTTATTATATAATTAAATAGCGACAATTAAATTATTGTCATTAAATAATTATCGTTAATAATAAATTTTGTTAGTGTGAAAATATTCTTTCGTAAATAAATTCTTATTTGGTCAACAGTTGTTATGAATGAAAAAAAAATTCAATAGATAATAAAACAACGAATTCAAAATTAAATCATGATCAACTTAATCCAGCATGACTATCAGAGTCCTAAACCAATTAGTTCCTCATATCAAAGGAGGAAAACCCTAACATACAAATTCATTATTGAGAACACTAAAAACCTTAAGAGAATTTCTCAAATAATTCAACAATGAGTCTAGAATTCAATACAATCCCAATGCATAATCAGTTAATTCTATTAATACGATAGAAGTTTGATACATATTAAAATGTATATAAAACAACCTTAATTTGCTCCTGAACTTTATTTTGTCAAAATAAATAAATAACATTTTTTTTCTAATTAAATCAATATGGACGTGGCTCTTCGGATTCCTCATATTGGGTTTTCCTTTTCCCAGTCCTCCTTTCGTTATATACGTTTCTTTCACTCCATTAGGAATCTGTTGCACATTTTGTTGACAAAATTCGTGTGAACTAGCCCCACCACCCACCAGAACTACAATGTAATATACAAATTTCGGCTCTAATTTCTCAATCTATGATCATGACATGGGACCCAAATTGGAGACTGTAGATAAAGTAATAGTTCAAAACACACAAATTTGTTCAATTATATAATTTTCTGAAAAAGAATTAATAACAGGTGCCATTATCACACTGGCTAAGGGTTACAACAAGGTTTTCTCTAACAAGGTATACCAATCATTGCAAAATAAAGCATCAAACCCTTCCCAACAATGTTGTCAAATGCATCCAACAAAACTTTCAAAAAAGCAGGTAAGATTTTTGTAGCTACATATATGACTTGAGGATGGTGATACCAGCCTCGAACAAAAAGGAGATTGAGACGTGTTGAATAGAAATTATTTGATGAGCTAGCATGCATGCCAATTTGGTTTTAATTAAAACAACTAGCATGCTTTCTCTGGCCTCAACAAAGTTACTTGGAGCTTATATTGACAACCTTATCAAAGCCTTTCAATCCACACAACCTCCGTTAATTATGCTTGAAGCAAAATGATGAATTTAGTTTCAGCTCTAAACCATTGTTAGTTGTGACAATAGACAGTTACTTCCAATTTACTTCACCACAACAAATTTCTATTGCTGTCATAACAACGCACAGAATGAATTTGCTAATTTTTGCTACATAGTTCAAAAACACATCTCAAAATGCTACATGATTTCAATAGCATAGGAAATTGACAAATCATTCCCATGACTATTAGAGAGAAAGATATACATAGGAATATATATCACTTTTTGGTTACAGTGGTGCACGAAAATAGAAGATTGTTCCATAAATAAAAGGGGAGGTTAAACAACACAGGATAAACTAAACCTGTCATAAATGTCATCAAAGAAACTGTGTTACAATAAACTAAAGAATAAAACTTAGATACAATACCATAAATATTGTTGGTTTTGTCTTCCAATCAGAACTGAAGCTCTACTTCCATAGTATACATTTATATTTTGTGCAAACTTCAATAATATATATTTATGCATATTATCGAAGTGAAACTTCAATTCTAATTAGAGAACAAACCTATGTTAAAGTACTTAGGTTTTTTTCTAACTAAACTCTCATGTCTTCCTGTAAAAGGACTATTGCCAGTGGTTGCTGCATCAAGATATTACTAGAAGAATGCTCGGCTTCCATAAAACACACGTGATCCATCCTTTTTCTTATCAATTTCTAACTTGTTGCTGTTATGATTTTGAATCACATCACCATGACTTACACTCTCAGGTTTGTCAAGGTCCATTGGGAGCTTCATCTTAGCCAGAGACTCAGTGAATTGTTGCATGCTTCTCATGTACATGTCAACTATTTGCTGCTGCATAGCTGATTGCTCAGCCTCCATATTGATGTTCCCTAGTGGAGCAGAAAAAACTTGGCCAAATCTTGCAGCTTCTGTGTTCCTGTCACTATTGATATCCTTTTCCTTTCTTGATGAGAATTTTGATTCTTTATCATCTCTGGCTCCCCTTTCTTTCTCTGAAGTTGGGGTATCTGGACTAGCACTAGAGTTCTGACCACCTTCAACTGTGATTGAAACATTGAAAGAAGTTGATGAGTCAACCCTCAAATTACTCTTTTCATTAACTGAATCTGATGAGTTTCTATCATCACTTAAGCTTGTAGTAGTAGAGCTTGAGAACACACAATTCTGAATGCTCTCATTTAGAGAAGTGGACTCTTGATTCTCATCTGGGGTAATCGCAGTCATTTCATAATCATCACCTTGAGGAGAAGCACCAAGGTGAAGAAATGGTAGCAATGCTACTGAATTAGGCCTTGAAACAGAAGAACCATAAGGTTCCAAATTGAAGTACTCAGAAACCATTTTTTGATTCTCCTTCATCACATTGACATCAGGAAACTCAATTCTAGAATACTCAACTGGGTTTGACATGTCTTGAGAGATTTTTTGATCAAGCAAAACAACTTCTGATGATATGGATGAAGTAGTAGCTGATTGTGATATATGATTCACTGTGGAACTGATTGAAAATGATGTGTCCAAAGAGAGTGTTAATTGGACAGTTCCAGCAGGACAATGGAAAAGGTCAGTGGAGGAAAGGCTATAATCTTCTGTCACCTTTCCTTTGCCAACAACTTGTGAAATTTGGACTAAAGCAAATCCCAAAAGCTGGTCTTCCAAGTGATTTCTTGACCTGCTAAACATCCAAATCTCACATTTGAGAACAGCATCCATGTGGGTTATATTCATCCTCAAGTTTTCATTGAATATTGGGTTTTTTCCACCTCCATTTATGATTTTGGTGGAGAGAGTCTCATCAGGGTTGTAAGTAAGAGAGAACTTAGCATACACATCCTGATTATCATAGATGCATATGTTATGAATGTTCCTAGCATGATGAACATAGATATCAAGAATCCCTGAGAACTCAGTATCATCATCATCTGCATGATTCATTGTATTCGATTTTGGATTGTACCTGAAGCTGGTAGTTTGGTGACTCTGATTGAATGAATTCATTCTAACCTGATGTTACTCACCACATGTAACTTTGTTCTATAACTTGCTAGAAAAAGACTCATAAAACTATAACACAAGCAGAATTGAGATGGATATTTAGTTCATCAATGATCATGCAACGAGGGTACTTATCCAATTTCCCACTGCTCTTTTGTATATATGAGGGAACAAAATTCGAAACACTGATTTCATTTGAATAACAAGCTTCAAATCAGTGGAAAGTTGGAAACAGAGAGAACATGTAAAGGGTTAACAGAACTTGAACAGAGTTTTCTAAATCCAACCTAGTTGAATGAGTAAAAAAAAAAGAGACTTGTTAAAACCTGGTTCTAGATATACACTGGACGATGATGGTCTTGTAGGCTGAAGCTGAAGAAGTTTGTGTGATGAATCCGAGGATTCAGACATAACAATGGAAAGAAAAGGGTGTGAGAGAGAGACAATTAAGATGCAATGAAGTGTGTTGTTTTGATGAAAATGGAAGGGCATGGAGGAGCTTGTTGTGGTAGTAGGTGAAAAAATGAAGGATGAAAGCATGAAAATGAATAAGAAGTTGATGATGACGTAATGGGTTGGTTGGATGCCACTTTTTTCTTTGATTGATTCACCTCTTTATTTTACTAGTATGAAATAATTGTAGACCGGGAGATATTGGTATATAATCAATCAATAGAAGAAAAAAAAATAAGAAAAATCAATTAAAGTGGTTTGAACGTGGTAAATAAAGTCACTTAAAACAACATTAAGGGGAGTTAATTGCATAGGGAAATTAAAAATAAGGATATAAGACTAAGTTGTTAAGAAAAGTTTGATAATAAATAATAAAATTTATGATAAAGTTGTTAAGAAAAGTTTGATAATAAATAATAAAATTTATGATTTTTTTAAAATATCTAATTTGGTCATTGAAATATGGTAGAAGTGACTAATAGGTTCTAAAAAAAATTTTGTGGTATTTGAGTCCTAAATTTTAATATTGTTACACAAATTATTCTTTTCATTATATTCAATTATTAACTTTGTTGGTTTCTTAAGTAGTTAACAGTTAAGTATCAAATTGACACTTAATTCCTCTCTTAGTTGGTTGTTATCTCTCCTAATTACTTAATATAGATCATAATATAAGATTTTGATACTTTTCAATCAATAAGAGACGCTTTGTCATATTTAAATATTTTGATCATAGGTATTTTAGTTAAAATGAAAGATTGTTATTAGGTTTCGCAAAATTTCTTGTAATTGGATTTTTATGTCTCAGTCATCCTTAATTTTTTTTATTTGTTTTGCCTACAAGTTTAAGATTGCAAATCCTAAATTATTAAATTTGGGGTTTAGTAAAGTGAGTGGCAGTTCTAAAATATCTCAAATAAATAAGGATGCGACAATTAAACATGGATGTTTCTATTATGTTTAATGAATCACAAAACTCCTTCGATAGAAGTGAGAAAGAGCTTAGTAGAAATTGGAGTGAATGGGAAAAAAGTCATTCAAATGTTTTTAACTATTTTTTAAATTAAATTAAAAATTAAATCTTACATTGTCAAGTGTCTAAACATATTTAGTTAGTTTGTAACTATTGCATGTCAAATGGAAGAGAGAATAAATATCAACCCAAAAATTAACTATTGACCGATCATAAGTCTAACAAAGTTAATAATTGAATATAACGAAAGGACTAACTTGCATAACTTAGTTATTAGAGATCCAAATGCCACAAAAAAATCTTTTAATGACCTATCGGTCACCTCTATCATCTTTTAAGAATCATATTGAATTTTTACTTGTTATAATTCTTTTTTAATTCTCATAGTTTTAACATTTCGTTCCAGTTTTTATGTATATTATTGAATAAATTATACTCGCACCCCTATATTTTTCAAAATTGCACTCGATATCCTTCTATTTTTGGACCTATAGTGAAGTCCCTTAAAAGTTGAAAAGATGTTGTATTATCCCCTAATCACAAACAACATCAAGTCTGTTAACATATTTGTATCATGTGACCTACACGTGACTTTTAATAAATTTTTTCTTTCAAAAATGTCTCTCGCCTTTTTCATTAAAAGGGACATTTTTAGAAGAAAAAATTCATTAAAAACTATGTATAAGTCGTATGACACAAATATATTAATATACTTGACTCTATTTTGGATAGGGGGACAATGTAACATTTTTTTAACTTTTAAAAAATCTCACTATATATCCAAAATAAAATAAAAGGGTACCAAATACAATCTCAAAAAGAATTCAGGAAATGCAAGTGTAATTTACTCTATATTTTTTTTCCTATTAGTTCATATCTCTTATTGTTACATGAACTAAAAAGAATTATTAAATTATAAAAATTAAAAAGAAAACAAAAATTGTATATAAAGATTAAAATAAAATATTTTTAATATAAAAAATAAAAAATAAATTCATTAAATTATTAAAATCAAAAGACTAATTAAATTTGAATTATATATAAATATATATATATATATATATATATATGTGTATTATATATATAATATATTCTTTAACCGATATGAACATACTTGCTATTATTTCTTTCGTTTTAAGTTCTTAGGTCTTTGATGTTGACAGATTAAGAAATATTTAATAAATATAAATTTAGATTAAAAATATTTTATTTAATATCTTATTATCTCAACTCTATTATTTTATTCTTGTAAAAATCAAATAAACAGTTATAGAGAAAATTTCTATTAAATATGAGTATAATTGACAAAAACATATTAATTTGATTTTGAAAATTTAAAAGATTATTTGTTTTGAGAAAAAAAAAATGTTAAAAGTGCACAATATTTCAGATGGAGAAAGTATATTATTTTCTTTACGAGTGGGGGACAGAAGGGTTAGTTTTCTTTTTCTTGAGAATGCAGCTTCCAATTCCAGTGACTCACTTGCTCCACTCACCAAGAGTATTGGTATGAAGGACCCACATAGACCCAATTAGTCTATTTTGCATGATGAAAACATAAAAATCTGTACTCAGTGCTTCTATAAAATCCAGTGGCGTTGGTTACTCTTTTTCTTGTTTCTCTTTATTAAATAGTGTGCTTAAATTAAATCAGAAATAGATATTGAAGAGTGTTATGGGGGAATTTGCAGAAGAGAGCCACAACACAAAGAACCATTGGGGTTGGAGTAACTCTAGAAGGCCACAATCATCACAGATGTTGATCGAGTTCAGAGTAATTAGGGAATTCATCGAGTTTGAAATACTAGCCATTTCATAGGAATTACACATACAATTTGGAATAAGGATACATTATGGTATTATATGGATGCAATCTAATCTTTGGAACAACCTATCTAACTACTATCTTTGGTAGGAGTTTCTTCTTGAGTAGAGTTTTTTTTTATATAAATTTGAAATCTTGTATAAAGAAACTAGAAGAAAATGATATGGGTCCTAAATAATGATTCATTTCTCCCTTTTTAACTTTTAAATTATTTTATGTTATCATTTTTTATGATGGTTGTGGCAACAGATAAAAAATTCAGAGAATTAAAGAGAAAGGAGAAAAAATATTATTTTTGATAATTTAATATTTTAAAATTAAAAAAATAATAAAAAAAATAAAAATAAAAAACTACCTTTAATTTGTTATGAGAATTATGAAGGTAATAACTCCAATTTGGATTATTCACAAGAGAAGGACAACCAATATCACTTGAGTACAAGAAAGATTCAGATTATGTAGACGAGAATTGTAATTAAAAGCATTCATGAAATGGGAGAATGAATATCATAATCTTAATATTAATTTTCATTGTTTTTATTATTTTAAAAAATTAAATTGTCAAAAAGATGATATTCATTCATTATTTTTATGAATGTTTTGAACTATAATTTATTGAGGAAGTCAAAGAAATTGTCATAGAAGCAAAATATGATCTTGGTCTAAGAATCTCAAAATATCAACTAATAAAAGAGAGACTAAAGGGACAACAAGTGTTATTCCTTTTTTATAATTTTTCATTTTTCTCCATTTTTAACTCTAAACTACAATACTCGTCTTATGTTGCAAGAGAGGAAAACTAAAAGGACAGTAAGTGTTATTGTTTTTTTTCTTCTAATTTTTAACTCTAATTCACTGTTTTCATCTTATGCTACAATTTTCATCAAAAACTAAAAGTAATTTTGCATTCATGACAATGTTTTAACTTCTTGCCAAAAAGGAAATGAACAAACAAATAGACAAAGAAAGAAAATTATGCACAAGAGTAAAAATAAATAAATTAAATTATAGAAGTGATTATGAAATAAGAATGAGATATCCATTAATTTTGAAATTTACATGAGAATACGAAAAGATAAGAAATAGTTGACACATAAGTGAATATCATGATGTGATAACGTGTAAAATTAATTTTATAATATATAACATATCAATATAATAACTCGTAACTCACTTTTTATATTATAAATAGATTTTATATATATATATATATAAAATGTAATTAAAATGTTCATACAATTAACAATAATACATATTCAACGTAATTACAACACTACACTAACATTATTAAAAAATATTCATGCCTCTGAGGTCATTGGATATTGATTTGGATTTGACCATCGTTTGCTATTCATTCCTTCTTGTTCTTGGTAAAGAATTCAACATATTGGACTAGCTTGAGCCAGGTTGAATTTTATCACCTTGTTGAATATTGAATAATCTGCAAGACCTGTTGCGTGAAGACCAGATATTTTGGAGAAAAAATGAATATTAATTAATTGTATTCGAGTTTTAAGTTTCTAGGAAGAAATAAAATATTTATTCCAAATCAATTAAAATTTAAATATATTTAATAGTCCATTTTCTTTTAAATTAAATGTCCGATATCTACGTCTACATTTGATAAATAGGTGTTACTTGAACATATTTTCAAGATTAATTTGATTTCTTGTGAGATGTATGGAAAAGTGTTCAATAGTTATGAGACATCACTTGTTACTGAAAATTCACATACCTTTATATTGATATGATGTAGTCTACTTTACGTTTAGTGTTTTATGGATTTATTTTTAATCATCACTTAAAAGGATTGATAATAATAAAGACATTTGTATGTATATAAATCCATATTCATCTTTTTGTTCAAATAATATGAAGCTTTAATTGTATTCCAATAATTCATGAGAATTTAAATCTAAAATAAACAATACATATCAATATTGATACATGCATGTGTGAAAACCCTATGTGCAACAAAAAAAAAATTATCAAGGGACATTCTTGAAGTAAAAAAATAAAATTAAAAAGAAACTAGTCAATATTCATTATTCAACATATTAAACAGTGAAAGATTTCTCCTATTTTCTTATATTTTTTAATATTGGATAGACACATAATATTCCGAGGAGAATATAAATATTAGGTTATGACTTATATTTAGCTTGAAGGTATTAACAACATAAAAGATTGATGAATTAATTATGATAGCATTCTTATGTATATGAATGTATAATTATTCTTGGTGTTGTTGGTGCGTTGGAAAGATTAGACTATGTGTGGGGTTTGATGTATAGACAGACTATAGATCACAGGCAGGGGAAGTTGATGCCAAGTGGATGGCATTTCCCAAGATGCTTGCAAGTTCTATATGAATGGGTGCATATGCTTAGGGTACATTTTCTAGAGTGGGGAAGATGGTGCAAGGTACAATGGCGGGGTTCCAATTTTTTCCCCTTTCCAAAGATATATGATTTTTTTTTTTCTTTTTCCTCGGTAATATTCAAACTTGGTTTCTTTATTTTTAAATTAGTAATTTTAGTTGTTTAAGTTTATAAAATTTACAATTTTAATCTCTTATTAAATGTTTTTCTGTCAATTAGTAAAATTGTAATGTTAGTTTTGATTTAATTTTAAATAAATGACAAATAATTAATATTTAATAATATTTTGATTAAATTTTATGTTTAATTCTCATTTTTATCTCAAATTCATATCATTTAGGGTTTAACTTCAATATTATTAAATATTAATTATTTATCATTTATATATAATATTAAATCTCAACAAACGTCATGGATCAACAGATAAACATTCAATTAAGGGATTAAAATTATAAATCTTATAAAATTGGAAGACTAAAATTGTGAATTTAAAAATAGAAAACCAAAATTACTTGTTTGATATTATATAAAAACCAAAAATGTATTATATATATATATATATATATATATATTAAAAATAATTTAAAGTATGTATTTTAGTATTTACCCCTCGAAATATTTTGGCAAGATTTGGAAGGTAAGTGACACTCCTTGGGCAATAGCTCCTAAGCTTCTCCATGAGCATTGTATTATTGTGATGGGGTATGGTGATGGGAATGCATGTCAATGTAGACTATAATTCCACTGAATTTCACCTTGACTCCTTGAGAGCTCTAATGGGGAAACACACTGATTTGTATTTGTGTTAGGTGGTGTGTGTTCTTGTGTGGGGAATGTTGTAGGTTTCCTATTTTAATTGTTAAGGTTTTTCTTTTAACCTTCCTTTTTACTTTTGTTTGGTCGTGCCCCGAGCAGTTGATGGATGGTCATTATCGCCGACAGATCTCTAAAGGAGTGGAGGAAGGAGAAAAGCCAAAGACCAACTAAGAAAAGATATCAACCATGATGTACACCTTGGTGAATGTCATAGGTGGTAGTAGCCATAGGATAGTTCCTTTACAAGGATGGAAATTAGTGATGATATTCTTTTTTATAAGGAGGTTTAATTCTTTCTTATGAATAAGATCTTATAATCATGACTTTATGTTTAAAATAAAAGTGTTTTAAATTAAAAAATACAAATATTAAACTACTTAAATTAACAATTTTTGGTTAAATAATATCAAATATTAAATCAGATGACTGAATGGATTTTAATAGAATCAAGTCCAGGGTCAATCCAACATATTTTGAGATCTAAAACGAGTTCTAAAGTTGGACCTTTTTGAAGATGAGAGAGTAGTAAAAAAAATTAACAATTACTCATTAAAAAAAAAGTAACTTTCAATAAAAAAAAAATTACGATACTAGGATTAAATCACAATCTTTACAAACCAAAGTTAGTATTGATACAGTTAATTTATTAAGTTCTATATAAGTAAAAAAAAAATATTTTGAAATCTAAAGTTAGAACTTGATTAACCTTATATTTGGGTCAGTCCTGATCAAGTCTCGTAATGAAATATCTCTTTCTCCTTCAATTCCTTTATCTTTTCACAATTTTATATAAATTATCTTTTGAGTACCAAGTAGAAAGAAGTTTATATTTGTTAGATTAGGAAGTTTGAATTTGAAATATTGTTGTAGAACACTCACCAGGACGCGAACGGACTCACCACGTGTTGAGGGGAATGTTGGGCGCCATGGAGAGGTTAGGAGTAACGCATCTGACGGTGGTGCCGTCAGTGGTGGTGGTTGTGACGAAGGACGGCGTCACCGATGGGTACAGTTTTAAGTCGTTGGAATCCGTGGTGTGCGGTGGGGCTCCTCTGGGAAAGGAAACCGCTCATGCTTTCAACGCCAAGTGTGGAATTCAGGCAAAGCTAAGAGAGGTGGCATCTTTGGAGGGACATGTTCTTTTGAAAAAGCTAAGAGATGCATTAGAATCTTTAAGAGGTTGTTTTGCTGGAAGAAACAAAGAGGATGTGGAGAAAGCTATCTTTATGGTTTGTTAATTTATATTTTCCATGGTTGAGTACATTGTTCAAAGTTTGATATGATATTTCATTCTGTCTGATGACTGGACAAAAATTGAGCGTTCCTGACTTATAACAATATATTTCTCACAGGTGGAAGCTTTGGCAGTTAAGTTGACTCAAAATGAGGGAGAATTGATTCAAGAGAAGTTTGAAGTGAAGAAGCTTGTAAACTTTCTCAAACAGGTCATCTTTGACATCTAAACTTTTTGTAAATCGTTTTAGAATCGCCTTCTAAACTTTCTGCTTATAGTTATGATTTAATTGAACCCTTGCTGGTCCGGTGGCTCCGTCGCTGGAGTGCTTGGTCGTCGAATGAGGTTTGAAAATTGAAACCCTAATAAGTGTTTGCGTTGCTCTTGTTCAGCGTGCGTGACCCTTTACATTTTAGAACAAAATGTTAATTTTTTAAAAATAAAATAAACCGGGGACGGGTATTTAACCGGGGACGGGGACGGGGATGAGGCGGGTAAGTATATACCCGTACCCGATTTCTTTTATCGGGTTTTACCCGTACCCGTACCCAATCAAAGCGGGTATTCCCGTCAAAGTCGAGACGGGTTTGGATATTACCCACGGGTACGGGTTTATTTGCCATCCCTACCCGAAAAAGATATACTTAGGGACTAAAACTTTCTATTATAAACTACAAGATCTAAAGTAAAAATGAAGTTAAACTATAGGGATTAAAAAAATATTTTAAGAAAAATTAATTAACTACTTTTAATTTTGCCACCTTTTGAATATCTACATTCGAAAGACCCTTGTTGTACTAAATTAATCTCACACGGCATTGGAAGTCTATTAATGTTAGCAAGTTGCACCAACAATTGAGGGATATTTGTATAGACAAAAATAAAGTTTAACATTATCAATTTTTTTATATTAAAACAAGTACTTTTCTAGTTAATTCAGACGTTGCTTATACTATCGTGGGCTATTAAGTCCTTCATATAACTCATACTTGATATCGATTTACATTTTACAATCTCATGTTATGCGAGATTTAAGTAAAATGACAAAATATAGGTACTATGCACTTGTATTTTAGAGTTGTTCTCCAATTAGAGTTGGAATTTTACCTTGGTACTATGCACTTGTATTTAATCCATGTCTCATAATATCCACTGACCCAAATTTTTGATGTAAAACTCTGTCTTTAATTGGAATCACTCATTCAAACATATGTAGTCCAGTTTTGTCATCATCGATGTCCATTTTCGTAACATTTTACGATATGACAAAGGTTACACTGATTTTTTTTGTCAAGAATTCCTTGCTAATTCTAGTGTATGTATGGAATATGTATGCTTTATTATTCTTTTTAAAAAAAGAAAAAGAAAAAAAGGGATTATTACAAAAATGATAGACAAACGATTTAAAGGATGACCATGCAACAATCATATGCTCAAACAACATACATCCACGAGCGTTACATTCACATTCTGGGTTGTGGTTCCTGTCAAAGAAAGTGTGTTGTATAGGACATTTCTAATCTCACTAGTCTTTAAGGCCCCCAAGGTGCCCCCATTATAGGGACCTAGTACCTCTGTCACCGTCACCTGGGAAACTCTAGGGTTTTTCGCAGTATTTCGGGTTAGAGTAACCAGTTATCACCTCGAGTGTGATTTCCGACAAAGCTCATAGGCTCGAAGGCCATACTTGGGTCGGTCGTACGTCAACCACTCCCTATATTTTTACGCTCATGCCCTCGGGTGTAGGGGGACTGTTGTGTGCTATGGTTTGTGTACATTTGTTATTTCAATCATGTGCGGAATTTAAACAAGTAAACAAATATTAAAGCTATACAAGTAAAACAAACGAGAAAAGGGGAAAAGATATTTAAACCATTATTCTCATCTTGTTAACTTCATCATTTATTTGAGCCTGACCCTCTTTAAAATTTCCTAGTGGAGTTGCCATCTGTCGTAACCCAAACAATTCTAGGGATTACGACCAAATGGATTAAACTACCTTTGAAAATATCATTAATTAAGGAATGTCCGGAAACTAGACTAATCGTTAATTAATTGTTTTGAAGAATGGTTCATAGAGTCACCAACAATGTTTTACTCAAAACATTGGAAAAAGAAAAGGTTTTCAAAAATCCAATAATGGCCTTAACAATCAAAATTGGGTTCGGGGGTCGGTTATGTATATGGAAGGTATTAAGCACCCGCACAAAGCCCTAAATTGGTACCCTTATGATGAAATTAACACGATAAGAATTAATAGATTAAATATTAAATCCTCTTTTATTAACAGTTATTTACATATTTGAAAATTTAAATTACATGATTACTTTCGAAATGTCTACATAATGATTGTTGGTTTAAGATAATATTTATCTAAGTGATGCATATAAAGGTGAGAGAAGAATATTAATTGAAATACCTCATAATTGAGCTCTTATTAGATCTTCAAACTTGGGGCCGATAGGTGCTTTTTGGCTACCTTTCACACTACATAATTTCTCACAAGATCTCAAGAAATACAAAAGGAGATGGAGGGAGAGAAATTTCGAGCTATACGGAGTTCTGGATGAATTTTCCCGGCCCCTGGAGCAGTGCCCGAGTCTACTATTTATAGATGTCAAACCTGACCAGAACGACCCGTTTTGGATTCAGAACGGTCCGTTCTAGGTCATTCAGTTATGAGTTAAATTTGAATCTCGAACGGCCCGTTCTAATGACAGAACGACTCGTTTCATATTTGAACTTGTCTCATAACAAACCATATTGGAACGACCCATTATGGCCCGTTCTTAACTAGGGTTTTTGGGTCTTTTTAGTAATTTGGAACGGCATATTCCAGTTTGAGAATGACCCGTTCCATCTTGGGAATGACCCGTTCCGGTTTTGGAACAGGCCTTTCTGGACTACTAAACCAAATTTTTTGGGCCTCAAGCCCCTTTGTTGTCATATTGTGTTGTCTCCATGCTTTGGGAGCTTCCTCCTTTCATAATAGAGGTCATTTTCCTTGTTCACAGGTCCGGACGAAATTGGGTGTCTATAAGTAGCTACCATAAAACACGAAAAACATATTATACAATTTCCATGACTAGAGACAAATTAATAGGGTATATATAACTAGATCAAAGACACTTTCATCTGATCAAAACAAAACAAGGCAATAATTAAATAACTAATAATAGAAAAATAAAAAAGATAAAAACCCATGCACCAGCAAGTAGCAAGGCAACAACCACCAAGTCTAACCAACAATTGACAAAAAAACATAGTTAATGCTACAAACTAGAGTAAGGTCACATCATTTTACAACTAGGAGAGGACAAACACCAAAGGGCTCACCACTATGTGGTGAGAAGAGGATGAAAGTGAACATATCACACTAGAGAAAACAAGGTCATAGTGTTTGACTATAAGATATGGAAACATGAATGTGAGGTGCTTATGCGACTACAAGAGATGTTAGCATGGGCATAACCTATGCGACTATGAGAGATGTGATCAATAAGCATAGGTCGTGGGGTGTGATTATGAGTGTGCAACGATGAGATGAGTACTAAATAAGACTATCAAAGGATCTTTTTCGATTAGGAGAGCGACTAATAGATAAAACACAAAATCATAAACATTTTTTTAATTTTTTAATTTGTATTTTTGAATTCAAAACAACATCGTATGGTTTTAAAATATATATATATATATACATATATATATATTGGAACACTGTCAATTCACTGGGAAATTTTTCTTCAATGTAATTACCGGCTTTGGAAGCAAAAAGCAATTCACCTTGCTTGGCTGATGCAACAATTTGATTCTTCTAGCCTCTTGAACCTCTTCTATTAGTCCATCCACGTCCTATCAATGAGGAAAAATGGAGTGTATACTTTACGTGCTAAACATAACAATAACAACATAATATCAATAAAGCATCTTTAGGAGCTTGGGAAGCTTTTTCTTGTTCCTCAAGTGCCTCCCCAATTCTCAGCACCACTGACCTATCACTTTGGATTTCGGCACAGGCAAAAGACTTCTCTTGATTAACCAACTTTTTAGCATCTTCGGAAGCCTATTACAACAAAGATGGATTCAGATTTTTTTTGTAAACAAAAATCAACATATTTGAATGGAAGAAGTAGAAAATTAAAGCTAATTCAGAAAGCCCTGGAGAAGTAAAAATAGTTGCAGAGCTTATTAGAGTTTAAATGGTAATTATGGACCCCTTATAACATATTAGTGTTTTCTAATTTGTCTTAGAACCCCTTAACATATTAGTCTTTTGTAATTGGTCATTCAAGATATGTACTATGTAATAAATAAGTGTAGTTCGTTTCCCCTTAATTCAATTTATTCTTAAAAGTTCAAATCCTCAACAATGTTTAACAAACCTCAAACCAGATGAACACAAAGGAGAGTCAAAGTTAGGGGCAAAATGGATCCAAATTCATTTGTTCCCCAATCTTTTATTTTTAACCTTTCTACACGTCAGTGTTTTCAAATTCATCTCACTTTCATAGATTCTACTTGTACTTCTGTTTCAACAGATTCCAAAATCCTTCAATCTAACCAAGCTTGAACCAGATAAAATACACACATAACATAGTAAGCCTAATTCACATTTGAATACAAACTTAGAAGAATTTTTTAGAAATTGGCTATCCAAAATAAATTAAAGAGCTTTTTCTGATAGAGAAGCTGTAATCCTAAGTTAAAATTTTCACCACCCCACAAACAAAATTCTCAAATCAAGCAAAAGGATAACACCAACTACTGACAAGAACATCAAATTTCACCTGAGAGTGCAAAGCAATGGCTTTGCCCCTAAGCTGGTTGAAACGCTTCTTGCCAATGATGTTACGAGTGACCACCACAACAGGTGCAAAGATACCTTTCCCTTCATTGACATTCTTCATCATCGGTTGCAACCTCACTGGCTTTCCCCTCCCCATGAGAACTTGTGATGGCACTGACTTGGCCAGCGTGGTGTAATCTTCACCAACAATTGAAGTGCCCCAGCTTCCATAGAAGGAAGAACCAACACACCCACTTGCAGAAATTGAAGTTTGAAACAGGTTATTTGTATACACATACACATGTCAAACTAGTACAATCTGTAAAGAAATATCCAAACAAAAATACTGGAATTTGATCAAAGAAATAGTAGTGAAAATTCAGAAAGGGTTCAATTAAATCATAACTATAAGCAGAAAGTTTAGAAGGCGATTCTAAAACGATTTACAAAAAGTTTAGATGTCAAAGATGACCTGTTTGAGAAAGTTTACAAGCTTCTTCACTTCAAACTTCTCTTGAATCAATTCTCCCTCATTTTGAGTCAACTTAACTGCCAAAGCTTCCACCTGTGAGAAATATATTGTTATAAGTCAGGAACGCTCAATTTTTGTCCAGTCATCAGACAGAATGAAATATCATATCAAACTTTGAACAATGTACTCATTTACTATAAGATTGTTTATAAGAAAAGTATTTTCATTTGAAATCCTTTTGCCAAAGTTATTTGGACGATTTAAAAAAACTGTTTACAGCACCAACGGATGCAGCCACCTCATGTGGTTGCATGTAGGAAATAATTATACGATAAGATTTCATATGTATGATTTTGTGTTAAGGTTTGCTTTTTAAAAATGATTAAGTTCTAATCCAATTAACGGAACAATACACATTATAGTATGAAGCCTTAAAAAAGTATATCATGAAGATGAAATAAATTTTAGAGTTGTACTTTTAATCTTCTTACTTTCTTAATTTCATGGATTTCGGCCTCTAATTTTTATTTTCACGGATTTAATTTTAATCTATCTATTAACTTGATATCTAATCTAATAAGTTAGTTACCATGTTTAAATTTAATTAGCAATAATTATACCCAAATCTTAGTTATTTTATAAATTACTTCTACATCTCTTGTACCTTCCTTATTTCATTAATCTAAGAGTACTATATGTGTATTGTTCGTTGATAAAATTAAGGGAGATATATCGAAAAATAGTATAAGTATAATATTCAAAAAAAAAATATCGAAAAGAAAAAGTATGATATTATTAATAAGCATGACATTCCCACAGATGGTAGATTGTCATGAACAATTACAGTTGTTATTGCCTTCAACACACAGACATAAAACCTCGGCGGATTCAACCACGTTGGGTCATTAAATCAATACGAAAGGGTGTAGTTATGTTGAGAATTAACACATCTGATTTCCACACATGTGAATGTAAAATAAATACTGTGGAAGTAAAAAAAAAATAAAAAGAAAATAATAACACCAAAATTTTAAGTGAATTTTTTTTTTAATATGAATAATGAAAAATGAGATCTGGTGTAAAAATTTCCACTATAAAAGTAAAATTGCACCTCCTTTTTATGAGATTATTCACCTCTCTTAAATGACTATTTCTTGCCTTTTATCCTTTAGTGGAATAACTCTTTTTTTCTCTTAAAAACAAATACAAAACTTTCTTATTAAACTTTAGAATGAAGACGAAATAACCTTTCATTTATGACTCTTTGTGAAATGTCTTATCAATTAACTAAGAAATTTCAACAAACACAAATAGTTAGTGCCATTTCAACAAACACAAATAGCTAGTGCAATGAGACAAACACAAATAGCTAGTGCCATGAGACCAATTCCTCCACTGATTGTATATGCCAACAGAACACCACAACATTTCTATTCTTCTGAAGGACCCATACTGTTCCAGGTACCTTGTGGATTTATTGATGTATCTAATATGAATAAGTCTTCTGAATTGTGACAAATGGCACAACATATTATCATGTAATGGTGCCTGAATAACAACACATAATATACCACAGAGTATGCTTTTGATTTTTAATTCTCCACCACCATTTTCCAATTAAAGCTATTATATTAAATTCTCTCAATTTTTATTATTCCCAAACCTCCCCTGTCCCTCTCCAAACACACATTATCCCATGGTGCACAATGAGTTTTTCATCCCCTTTCCCTTCCTCCCTATTAAAATGTGATGGAAAGAATTCATTCCAGTTTCATATGGGAATGGACCCTAGCATGTTGAATTTCACGTGATCTTGTCATGTGAAAATTTGTGTCTATCTCTCCCCATAAATATTAAAAGAAAATTTAGAAGACTCCACTTATTTACTTCTTACTATGAGAGAGATAGACACTAGATTTTTACATGACAAGGTCGTGAAAATTCGACATATTAATTCACATTTTTTGTATGCGATCAGCTGCATCAATCAATTTCAGTTTTGCTGGTCAACTGGAAAGCATTACTGAATAGGTTGGAAATGTGTGTACCAGAGCTAGCATGTTTCATTGTATCAACAATGAAAGGATGTAACATATGGATTGAAATTTGAGATTTTCTTTTTAAAGTACTTGGGTTACTGAATATGGAAGATGGGAGTTTTACAATTAAATGTAAGTTAGAACCTAAATTGGTTTGGACTTCAAATATACAATTCTGGTTTATGAGATATTACCAATCCTTTTTTAAAAACTAACTATTTAACATTTGACAAACTTTCAGCTCCTTGGTTATGTACCATTAAATACTACCATCTCTTAGTACTGAAACTTTAAATCGATGCCAAAATGATGTAGCATCGGAAACTACTTAATTTTAAGAAAGAACATTCATAAGTGAAATGTTGCATTACAATTTTTGTTTGCCAATAATTCCAAGTTGTGACTGAAATCATGTTCTTACTGTTTAATCTTTTATGCTGTGGCAGCATTCAACATTACATGTTTGAGGAAAGTGTCTGCCTGCTACTTCGGGCCTCATGGTTCAAACCTTTATTTGTTGAAGAACATGTGGACAATGAAGATGCATATGAAGAGCTAGAAGATTACTATCAATATATAGGAGGATGGAGACAATGATATGACTGGAGCTTACTATGGTGATTCGTCTAGTTTTTGCATTGGAAACCGAAGATGTGGAGATAACAGTTATGTCAGGTTGGTCATCAAGAGCTTGGCTGGTCCATCATCGTCCGAATTTCCAGGATTCAGGAGCAAGTTCATCCGGCAGCCAATAAAGAAAGCTGGGAAAAGTATAACTGGAAGAAGAGCAAAGAAGCCACAGAAAAGGGAATCTGATGACAAGACAACTGAAAGCAAAGCATCAGCAACATTTGATAAGGTTGGTTCGGAAGTGATTATATTTCATGTCAGGCCACGGCCTTGAAATCCCTTCCCATAAGTAATATATTTTATTTTTCTTCATTTTTTTTCCTGTACAATGTTTGTGCTCTTTACTGTGAAGCTTGTAATAATAGATCATGGGGAAGGTGTTTTAGAATAATGGCTTGGTGAGGTGGTTGGGTTATGGAATTCCTCACTCACTATAGCATTGAACATTTTAGGTCTAGTTGTTAATTTGTTATGCTCACAATGCAGGTCTAAGTTGTACATAATTTCTAATATTGATATTTTGACATATATTTCTCAAACTTTAATATGTGCCTTCAGATTCCACTTGGCTTAAGTGAGGGATAATCCCTGCCTCACATTTAGTAATCTTAGTTTACTAGCATGTTGAATCTGATCAATTGGAGAACACAGGAATGTGTTAGATAATTGGAAATACGTTCACTGATTATAGTTGTTAGTGTTACTTTAATTATGTAATATTGAATACTAAAAGGCTGAATTCTAATAGTATTTTGATATAGAGAAAATTTGCGTGTTTAAATAATGTACGTGATCTTGGCAAAAAAAACATAATTAACTATGAGCAAGAAAAGAACCGGTTAATTTCATTCTCTAAATCATTTCTCTCTCTTATTAAATTTCTTCTCCAACTCATTTCTCTTTCTTATTAAATTCTTTCTCTAACTTATTTATCTCTCTCCTATTAAATTCTTTCTTTAACTCATTTCTCTTTCATCTCTCATGATGTCTTCCTCCTCTCTCTCTGAACAAATAAAAATTTATTAATAGAAAAAATAAATAAATTGGAGAATGAAATTAATAAGAGAGAGAAAATATTTTTATTTTCATTTAAAATTAAATTAAATTACTATAATATCCTTTGTACGAATTAACCAAATCAAAATAAATGAGTGGTTTTTTTGTCCTAAAAAATTGGTGTAAGTTGCTAACATACTCCCACTAAAAAATAAGTGGGAGTACATTAGCATTCCCCTATATATATATATATACATATATGAATGCATTTAATTTTTCTTTTTAACAATAACAGTGTGTGATAGATCTTTCATGTTTCTATCAAGATCTACTAGAATAAAGTAACATAATATCTGGTTTTTTCTATCCTTGTATGTATTTTGAATTTTCTTCTCAAAATTTTAATCTGCAATTTGTTGGAATTGCAGACCCCACGTGGATCAGTGGTATGTATGGTCAATGTAATTGTATATAAGTGAACTTGTATGTAATTGGTCATCGCTAATTGATTGACATATATAGATGAAAGATCAATGAACAGAAGTTATATGTAATTGAGCATAGTTAAATCACATGATCTCATTACAATATTTTCTGTATTCGTCATTAGAATTAATCCACATCACCTTATTACGAGATGATGAATACAAACTAATTTCAAAACAAGATCAATTAACTTCAAAATCCAGAAGTTGGGATCTCCAACAAATTGCAGATTAAAATTGAGAAGAAAAATCAAAATATGTAAAAGGATAGAAAAAATTAAAGATTATTTTCCTTTATTCTAGTAGATATGGTGTGCAGATCAAGGTCTCTCTGTGAAAGCACATTTCTTACGTTTGCTTGTTTCATTATTCCAATAACTTTCTTTGGTTAATCTCATATACAGTTTAAACTTCTATATAAATGCCCCCCATGTTTACCTTTATATAAAAGGCATTGATCAAGTAAGAAACTATGTATATCTGATTGACTCCGGCACACTTGATTTGAGTCACTTTCATAACGCCACAAGACTAGAGTACACTTTTGAAAGAGCAAAAAAATGATGACCAAATTAAAGGTGGTTAATAGCCCGCTCCCAAGAGTAGAATACTTATGAATGAGTGAAAAAGTATCAATATCACATGTCTTTTTGTTAAGGTGTCAAAGATATCAATTATCACATAGAAATTATGTACAACTTAGACCTGCATTGTGAGCATAACAAATTAACAACTAAAACCTAAATTGTTCAATGCTATAGTGAGTGAGGAATTCCATAATCCAACCACCTCACCAAGCCATTATTCTAAAACACCTTCCCCATGATCTATTATTACATGCTTCACAGTAAAGAGAACATAAACACTGTACAGGAAAAAAATGTAAAAGAAAAAGAAAATATATTACTTATGGGAAGGGAATTCAACGCCATGGCTGACATGAAATAGAATCACTTCCTACCCAACCTTATCAAATGTTGCTGATGCTTTGCTTCAGCTGCCTTGTCAGCAGCTTCTCTTTTCTGTGCCCTCTTTGCCCTTCTTCCTGTGATACTTTTCCCAGCCTCTTTCTTTCTCGGCTCGCGGGATGAACTTGCTCCTGAATCCTGAAAATTTGGACGATGATGAACCGGTCGAGCTTCTTGACGACCAGCCCTAACATAACCATTGTCTCCCCATCTCCTGTTGCCAATGCGAAAACTTGACGAACCACCATAGTAAGCTTCATCCATATCATCGTCTTCTTCGTCCTCGTATTGATAGTAATCTTCTAGCTCTTCATATGCATCTTCATGATCCACATGTTCTTCAATAGATAAAGGTTTGAACCATGACGCCCGAAGTAGCAAGCAAACACTTTCCTCAAACATGTAATCTTGAAGGCTACCACAGCATAAAAGATTAAACAGTAAGATCATAATTTCAGTGACATCATAGAATGATTGTCAAACAGAAATTGCAATGCAATGCAACATTTCACCTATATAGAATGATCATTCTTAAAATTAAGTAATAATCAATGCTACATCATTTTGACATCAATTTAAAGTTTCTGTACTAAGATGGCACAATTTAATGGTACATAACCAAAGAAGCTGATAAGTTTGACAAATGTTAAATTGTTAGTGTTTAAAAAAGGATTGGTAATATCTCATAAACCAGAATATCATTGTATTTTTGGAGTCCAAACCAATTTAGGTTGTAACTAGTATTTAATTGCAAAACCCCCATCTTCCATATTCAGAAACCAGACAATAATAACCCAAGTATTTTAAAAAGAAAATCTCAAATTTCAATCCATATTTTACATCTTGCATTGTTGATTACAATGACACATGCTAAACAAAGGAGGAAGTGCCCTAAACCCTTCCAACCTATCCAGCACAGCTGACTAGCAAAACAGAAAATTTAGTTATTGATAGAATATTAGAATCTAATGGTCATTAATTGATTGATGCAACTGACCGCATACAAAAATTGTGAATTAACCATCTGATGTTGAATTTTCACAAACTTGTCATATTGAAATCTATTGTCTATCTCTCTCTTAAGCAGTAAAAGTAGGATCTTCTCATAACTTTTTAATATTTATGAGACAGACAAATTTTTCACATGGCAGGATCATGTGAAATGTAACATGTGAGGATCCATTCCCGTGTAAAACAGGAATGATTTCCTTCCATTACATTTTAAGTAGCAAAAACTAAATCAGAAATGAAAATCAACGTAAAAAGTGCAATTATTACCTGCCATCAAGTGAGCGATGGACATTGAGGAACTCAAATGGATGCTTACACTGAGGGCAAGTAACTTTCTCACGGTATGTAGCCCAACGAAGGATGCAGGTTACACTACACAAAATCAAGTAAAACAATAAGCAAAATAGGTGCAAAACACATCACAAAATAGTAAAATACCAACAACAACAACAACAATATTAATAATACAATCTCTCAAACCCACAGGAAAATTAAAATAAAATAGAGTTCAAGCAAACTCAATAGATATACAACAGCACATCACTTATTTCATTAAATAAAATAAAAATTTATCAAATGCCTTTAGGGTATAGAAAGAGGCAATTAAATACCTATAATATCAATGTGATGGATAAGGACTAAGGAGTCTAATCATGGAATTTAGAACAGAGATCATTGACATAATATTAATGTGTTCAAATGTAATACACAGTTACTTGATAAAAAGGCTTCCACTAAAAACATAAGCTATCATTTTTTGTACTGAAATATCAGTTAGGCAACATCCCTAACACAGTAGAGTCAAGAACATTAAAAATCAACCAAAATATGTCCACTACAACTCAGAAGCTGATCAATCCAGATCTTGGACCTATATTTTTTCAATCTCTTTGATGCAGAACTAATACAAACAAGATTAATTTGATACAGTGATAAATTCTAGTCTATTCATTTAAAAGAAATATAAGATCCCATATGATTGCAAATAACTCTTGATGTCTCCATAATGTGATTTGATATATTCCATATTTTCACTTTCAATTTAACCATGATAAAAAGCATTACTGATCACTCAACTCCATGATTTCAATCAATTAAACATTTAAACATACTACGTAACATCACTGATCAACTATCTGAGATTTCTTAAATGGACAAATATGATAGTTGAATGTAAATTATGAAGCATTCCTCTTATCCATGAACATAGACTCCGCTGAAATGCACTAAAGCAACACTCGGCCCCAACACCAGCAACCCCCCCCCCCCCCC